CCGGACAGAGTTCTACGGTCAGCCGGAGAATTTATACTCGCGTCACATTCTTATCGAACTAAATACTTTAAAAATTCCTTCACAGTCAAGGCCACTTCCTCCGCAAATTCGTCGAGCGAAAATACATCGTAGATACCTAAATTTAAGATTGACTGGAAGTTATCGCTTTTTAGCGATAAGACCGCCTTATTGTACCTACCTTCTTAGTTTGACTCCCTTTTGTTTTTTTTTTTTTTTAATCGTGCTTTTGATGTACAATAAAATATTTATTATGCTATATTTAGTTTTAAACTGGTTATAATTATTTAATCAAAAGATTATAAAAAATCTGTATAAAAACCAATATCAAGAACTAATCAATATCATACATCGAAAATCTCCTTAAAATCAAGTACTACCTAATACAAATTAAAATAAATTTATTTTATGGCAATTTTGCTTCAAATAACAGTTTAAAAACTAAAATATTAGTTGTAAAGAAAAATCTGACAAGAACAGAATTTAAAGTTATTAGTACCTATATTATTTATGCATATCCATACCTAGCGTAAACATATAACAATATCTTATCTCTTGTCTTAAAGATAATGATATGAATAGCTAGCGAAAGATAAAAGTTTTAATCATATGGGGCTATATGAGTAATAAAAGATAATAAAAGCGAAAAACATGTTTTAACAAGTTTTCTTTTACAAAGTAATGACATTAATGAGTGTTCCGTTAATTCTGAAAATCATTAGGACGAGAATACCTAAATATATAAGAAAGAAAGAGATAGATAGCTTGTACATATAAAACCGGTCGAAACCGAGCTGGCAACTACGCAGGTCAGGGCTTGTGTGGGAATTGAAACGAGCTATAGAACATTATATATAGAAGTAACGGCGTAATTCAACGGCATTATCACTATTATTTAATGAATAGTAATACTATAAATAAGATCCGGATCCGGACCGATCTCGAATTTCCTTTGGAATCGTTGACTACTGGCGATTTTTTCGGACCGATACTACTTAAGCAACTTCAATAAACGAGCCTACTCCTTTTGAAAAGGCCGGCAACGCGTCTGCAATCCCCTGCAACAGCAGATGTTCATGGGCGCCAGTCGACACTTCCCATCAGGAGAAAGAGGATCTCCTCTTCTTCTTTAAAAAAATGATCATGGAAAAGACAGAGTTTATTTGTCACGTCTATATGTCACAACAATGCCAGTAGTTGTTAGGAACACTTCGCTCGAAGTTGTAGACGAGTACGTTTATCTAGGAAAAAATGTCCGACTAGGTAAGTCCAACTTCGACCAAGAGGTCTCTCGACGGATCCAACTCGGCTGGGCAGCGTTCATTGGATTACGACAAATTGTTTTGTCATGTATTCCCCAAAACGTAAAAATAAGAGTGCAACCAGTGCATGTTGTCAGTGAAGACATATGGATCTGAGAAGCTCAAGGTTCCTCAGTGAGCTATGGAGCCCGGATACGTTCGGAGTTCCTTCTGCGTGATAGAATTCGAAATGAGGATACTAGAATCAATGTAACTGAACCTGTAAGCCGGCCCCCCGCTAAATGTAGTGACAACCTGGTGAGACATGCAAGAAGTCGATGGATGCGGCTAGCTGCGGACCGTGTTTTGTGACATTCCTTGGGAATTATGTGACGTTCTTACGGTTAGGCAGCTATATATCTTACAGACAATTTTAAAAACACATGTTAACTCGTCATATGATCCAAAATAACCATCTATACGGGGTATTATGACGTCAGTAAACAAATTGAGAAACAACCAAGACATATTTACAATTATTTAAATAAACATTAAACTTTCACCGGTTTAAAGCCGAAGCTCCATCGCAAACTATTCCAGGTAAGCTATGTATGTATGAAAAACTGGCTCAGCTATGCGAGCTAAGATTAACTAAGTTAGTTCAGTTTACGGTGCTTTAGTATCGCGAATGCAACAAATCCGACCAGCTTCACAGAAAACATTCTATGTCACGTATCCATTTAATATATTATATTTAGTTAATAAATAAAATAACATACACACACACACACACACACACACACACACACACACAAACGCGCGCACGCACGCACGCTAGCACGCACGCACTAACGCATTCACGTACGTACATACACACGCACGCTCACACGTACGTACGCACGCAACACTCACTCAAGCACGCACGCACGCACGCACGCAAGCACGCACGAACGCGCGCACGCACGCACGCTTGTACGCACGCATGCACGCACTCACGCACGCACTCCCGCACGCGTGCTCGCATGCACGCACGCATGCACTCACGCACGCACGCACGCACGCACGCAACTACTCACGCACGCACGCAACTACTCACGCATGCCCGCCCGCACGCACGCATGCACGCACGAACGTATGCACGCACGCTCGCACGCACGCACGCACTCACGCACACACGGACGCACGCACGCACACACGCACGTACGTACGTACGCACGCACGCACGTACGTACGTACGCATACACGCAAGCACTCACTCAAGCACGCACGCGTGCGTTCGTGCGGGTGGGCATACGTGAGTCCACACGCACGCACTCACGCACGCAAGCACGCACGCACGCATTCCCGCACGCGTGGTCGCATGCACGCACGCATGCACTCACGCACGCACGCACGCACGCACGCAACTACTCACGCACGCACGCAACTACTCACGCACGCCCGCCCGCACGCACGCATGCACGCACGAACGTATGCACGCACGCTCGCACGCACGCACGCACTCACGCACACACGGACGCACGCACGCACGCACGCACGTACGTACGTACGCATACACGCAAGCACTCACTCAAGTACGCACGCGTGCGTTCGTGCGGGTGGGCATGCGTGAGTCCATTTAATATATTATATTATATTTAGTTAATAAATAAAATAACACACACACACACACACACATGCACGCAAGCACGCACAAACGCGCGCACGCACGCACGCTAGCACGCACGCACTAACGCATTCACGCACGAACGTACCCACGCACGCTCGCACGCACGCACGCACTTACGTATGTACGTACGCATGCACGCTCGCACGTACGTACGTACGCACACACGCACGCACACACTCAAGCACGCACGCACGCACACAAGCAAGCACGCACGCACGCAGGCACACACAGTGCGTGTGTGTGTGCTTGCGTGCGTGCGCACATAACGCATTCATGCACGAACATACGCACGCACGCTCGCACGCACGCACGCACTCACGCACTCACGGACGCACGCACGCACGCACGTACGTACGTATGCACGCACGCACGCACTCACTCAAGCACGCACGCGTGCGTTCGTGCGGGCGGGCGTGCGTGAGTCCATTTAATATATTATATTTAGTTAATAAATAAAATAACACACACACACACATACACACACACACACACACACAAACGCGCGCGCGCGCGCACGCACGAACGCAAGCACGCACTAACGCAGTCACGCACGCACACACGCACGCGCTCACTCAAGCACGCACGCACACACGCATGCAAGCACGCACGAACGCGCGCACTCACGCACGCTCACACGCACACACGCACGCACTCACGCCCGCACGCTAGCTCGCACGCGCGCACGCATGCACTCACGCACGCACGCACGCATGTTCGCTCGCACGCACGCACTCACTCACACACGCACGCACGCACTCACTCAAGCACGCACGCGTGCGTGCGGGCGGGCGGGCGTGCGTGAGTAGTTGCGTGCGTGCGTGCGTGCGAGCGTGCGTGAGTGTGTGCGTGCGTGCGGGCGAGCATGTGTGCGTGCGTGCGTGAACGGAAGAAAGGTACCTATTATTTTATACTTACTAGGAGGCTCCAATTACTATATTATTTAGTATGCTTTCAGAAACAAATGAGTAAATTTTCATTTTCATATTTCATGTTTTTTATTCCAGCATTAATATTTTCAATGAGATATAAAATACGTATTTATGTAATTATTCTTGTTCCGCACCGTTTCCTTTTTATTGCCCACGAGTAGATTCTAAGAATAGCACTGGACTTCCTTACTAATAATCAGGGCTAGTAATCATATTAATTTTAGCTTGAAAAGTTAGTGGTAGATTTATATTGTAGTTCAATGAAGATATTAAAATTGAATGATACCTATATTTTGACATTAAATTTAGGGAAATGTGTTGAAAAACTGATGAAAGTAATCAATAATTTTACCACATTTTAATATTTTTCTAAACGTTCATTATTATCATACTCGTAATAAGCCTTCGACAGTCCATTATTGTTGCATTATTGGGCAAGGCCTCTGAGGTGCACCACAAAGAGCGAAATGTTGAAATTACATGATTTACTATTAATAACAATTATTATTATTAAATCTTTCTTGATTATAGAAGGTTTGATTAATAAGAATACCTTTATTTCAAAGACAGATTTTATTTTTACACTTAGAGAAGATAGACTGACCCACATTAACAGTGATTTATTGGTAGATACCTATATTTAAACAGTATTAATAATACCTATATTGTTATTTTGTGTATACCTACTCAATATACACTATTCATATGTTAATAAATTACTGATTTGCAAAGATTTCAAAATATAAGTTGTCAAATATTGATTTGTAATTAATATCAAATCCGTTTATGCATAAATTAACGCAGATCGCAAAACGTTCATACAAATTTATATTCGCTCTTGTACTAGCATTATACGCGTCGTTTCATTCGATATTATTATTGCTCTTGTCAGTCTCGGCGCTCTGTTTTAGCCGAGCGAGCGAGGTCATTACGTACAAAAGCGTTATGCGACCTGTTCTGATAATAAATTCTTCTCTGCGGAGTCGGGGCAGGGGGCTCCGCTGCAAATGGCGTCGGCCTTAGAAAGTGCAGAAAGAGAGGGCTGTTCACTATACCCCCTTTGTGCGAAAGAGATAATACATAGCAGCGGCGTCAACCACCTAGGAATCTGCCAGCCAGCCAATACTGGCACTTTGGTGTACTGGCATTGGCATCCGCGTCTGCTCAGAGTCGGTACGCTTGCGAGTGAGCGAAACGGAATTTTATTATTCGGTCGGCCTAGATAGCTTGGCATAATATTCGATCGAAACGACGAGACATTCGGTCGGTGGCACACGTAACTTTTTGTCACAATATTTTTATTCCAATTACAGTTGTAATTTACATAATTTAATTACAGTTGTAATATTTCAAATTGAAAGTATATCCGGTTTTGAAATAAGTTGTGACAATTAATCGTTTGTGCCCATTAGAGGAGCCTTGGTTATTTCTTAGCGTCTTGTCACAGATTTATTTGACCGGCCATTTTGTACTTTCGTGCTATTGAAAAACTAACATAATATTATCTTGTGTTTGTGTATTTTTCATCATGTCTTTTTCTTTGTGTTTTACATGAAGCTAGTGTTTTAAAATAATTTACGATTTGGTTTCTTAGAAGTTTATGAGTTATTACTGTGGAAACGGAACTTGAGACTTATTCTGAGTGGCGAACTTGATGTGATTATATCAATAACACAAAATTCTATTGGAAAATAAAACCAACTGGAGAACATAATATTCAAAATATAACATATCTTTCGTTGGACAATGAACGTAAGTTCCATTGCTTACACATAATTACATATTATTTGCTTAATGATTTTGTTTGGTTACTATAGAAATGGAACTAAACCGGCATGCTGAAATATATAACGTATTTTATTAATTTTATTACGTAAATAATATCATCAAAGATATATAATAATATAACAAGTACAAGTTTTAAAAATTATGCTAAGCTATATAGTAGGTGCATTGAATTTGCCAAATTGATGAATAAATAGCGTACAATAAGGAAATATTAATCGAACTTCGATTCATAGGATAAATTATAGAATTATACTTTCCTAGTATCAAATCAAGTTAGCTTTGCCTTTGTTTACCAACATTCGAATCTGAAGCAGTATTTTGTAAAGCGCTTAGTTTTCATTTCATAGAAAGCGCCTAGTTGCATGTCAGTTGAAAGGCAAAAATGCATATAGATATTTCTTCAGGTAATAAAATTCTTAGCAATAACTATGAAAATGGAATACGTACAACATAGAAATATTAAAAAGAGAACAGGTGTTTCTTTTATGTTTATATTAAACATATACCCAGCTTGAGATTTCAAATGTTTAATATAGCATGGTTTATGAGAACTGGCCTAAGCAAAACAGGTGCTTGCTTATTTAAATAGTGATATTAAAAATTAATATCAAGTAAATTTAAACATAATTTTTTCTCAACATTACCTTGTTAAATAATAATGTTAACAACATTGATCAATCAATTAAATTTAACACACATTATAATTACAATGTCAGTACACATATAGGTATCATATTTAGACCTATCTCAAAACTTTTAAGTTAAATCTAAGTATTTTTTGAATTTAATTCTGTTTTATTTCATTACATTAGCTCTTAATAAGATTTAAACATCCTCCGTTATTTTCATATTATTAAAATTTCATATTTAATACAAAAGAAGCAGAATCATTTTGATAAATAAATATTTACATGAGGAATAACTTATTCTGTTTTTATTACAATACTAGCAATCTGCCCCTTGTTCGCAAGGGTGATTTCTGGATCTTGACAGCAGTGCCACCTACCGGGTCCAAATGTGAATCTAAACCATCTAGGGACCCATTCCAACACACAAAGTTTCATCATAATTAGTCAAGCAGCAATTGAGTTTTATATATAGAAATGATAATATTAACAGAATATTAGAAGCTAGCCAAGTTTATATTCTGGAAATAAAAAAATTAAATAAAAGTCCAGACTTGGTTAAAATATTAAGAGGCTTCACTTGTTTACAGGTGTATCATGGCAACAAAGCTTGAATCAGAATACCCACACTCACCAACAAACGATGAATCAGGTTTGTTTTAATTTTGTTCTGTTTTATTTTATTACAAATCTCCATATTGAATATTTTATACTTTATTTTATTATTTAAAATTCACCCATTGCAATTATTTGATACTTTACCTTCTGTCAACCATTTGTTCCATTCAATTATTTATATTCAGTTATTATTACATTAAGATATCTTGAAACAGTTACATATGTTTCATTTGTTGTTGGATTGAGTAAGTACATACAATTGATGAAAAATTAATTTGGTTATATAACTATGATGGCCAAATACTCAAATGCTACTCAATTTTTAAATGTTGTTAAGTCTCGTGGTGTCACAGTCACTCTGACTTAAAGTAATTGAGACAGCACGAGACTTAACACCATCTTAAAATTAAGTAGCATTTGAGTATATGGGTATGAATGTCACTAATTTACCGAAGAGAGTTTCTTTTTCTGTTTTACTTTAATGAAGGTCTGTGTTGTTATACATATATTTATGACAGGAAAGAAAGAAAAAAAAACTTATTTGACTATAAAATTCTTATGTAATAAGTAAATAAGCCTAATAATATATATTCTTAATCTACACAAAAACCTTAATTTCCACATTTAAAAATTGATGTAAAACTTATTGAAAAGGCAAATTAAAACCTCAGAAGATAATGATAGATTACTGTTGTTCTTAGCAGCGTATCTACCAAGTCTCTTCCTCACCACTTCTAAGTCCTTTCATACCTTTCTCTAGCTACAAAACTAGCAGTCATAACTTATTTTCCTATCACCTGTTTATTAATATGAGTAGCCGTCCACTCTGGCTTTGCACGGTTGATTTATGGATCTCGCCAACAACGCCACCTACTGGGTCCAAATGTGAATCAATACCATTCTGTAATCAACTTAATCACACACCCAAAATTTCATCATAATTGGTTCAGCCGTTTAGGAGTTCAGTTACATGCACACAGACAGAAGAATTATATAATATATAATATGCATGTATTATGCATGTAAACCTTCCTCTTGAATCATTCTGTCTATTTTATTGATGAAAACCGCATCAAAATCTGTTGTGTAGTTTAAAAGATCTAAGCCTACAAGATGGCGGAAACCACTTCGTTTTATACTATGTGGAGTTATTACTGTTATATCCAGATATTAACAAACACTATATTATATGTTCTATTACATGTTTTATAAACCTAAATATTATATTAGGTATACCTAACTTTTGGTGTACAAATACTAAAAGCAATATTACACAGTGCAATTTTTTATTAAGTTTTGGTTTACCTTAAGTTTAGGTGATTTTATTAAGAGCCCATGTTTGGCAACCATATGCTTAGCCTAAGATAAAGTTTGCTAATATTTTTCTTATATTATTTAAAGGTATTTCTTTATTTTCTATTACCTACTTGCACACCTGCTGCAGCTATGTTATAATTGTTGCACAAATGGGTTGGCTTGACCAGGAAAAGACCACACTCTCACAGAATAACAGCGTAAAATAATGCTGCTGTGTTTTGTATAGTGAGCATAGAAAACCGGAGACCCCTTTTACTGGAAATTAGGTATTCCATCTTAGTCCTGAGGCCAGCGCATCAGCATTTTTTTTTAAGAGAGAAAATAAGTTTATTTAATAACATATTTTAGCAGTTTGCTTACAATTTTTAACAGTGGTAGAGCCATGTGGCAGCTTTTGCTGTCGCACGGATGGGCCGGCTCGAACCGGGGTGGTACCACGAACTCACAGAATACCAGCGTGAAGTAGAGGTTTACCCCTGCTTCGCTTGGTGAGTGCAGGTGGCCGGAGGCCCTTTTTACTGGAAATGAGGCATTCCATCTTAGTCCTCACGGGTGACAACGCATCTGCATTTTGATTAGATCTGCATTAGATGTCTATGGGCCGCAGCAACCACCTACCATCAGGTGGACTGTGTGCTCGTTTGTCAACCTTATCCTATAAAAAAAAATTATGATATATTATTATAAATTTGATAAATTATAATAATATATTACTTTTAGTTACTAAAAAGGTACCGACTGAGTACTGTACTGACAAAGTACTTCGACGCTGATCTTCTGTGGGTGACAAAAACAAAACTTAAAATATTCATTATTATACAATTTTAAAGTCAATATGCACACATAATATATTTAAACCATATAGATGATTACACTACTACATACATACTTATAATAAATTATGACACGCGAGTCGTGTCTTTTTAAAAATCGTTATAACTCGTTCAAATTGCTTTTTTGCAAGATTTATCCAGAATAAAATATTCATTATTTTGCAATTAGTTCATGCCTACAGCTTCGTTTCTGAAAATTTTGAAAATTTGAAATTTTTAGGGGTTGACAACCTTTTAATAACTTGTGTATAGTACTCTTTTTACTTTGTGGGTTTTAAATCATGTTGTGGAAAAATAGTCTAATAAGTAACAAATAATAGCACTCATTGCGATCGCTCACAAACTCAAGTAGTAAATAAATTTCTGGAAAACAAATCTCCTGTTAAAAAAATTGTCTTATTGTTTAATTTTGCTTAAAATAGTTGAACTGCCGTCTTATTACTATCATATGGCCGAATAGACCTACGAAGTATCATGTGCTCTTGTGATATGGTATAAGGATTATTTTTGCTTGAAACAGTTCGAAACCGTTCATGCATAAAAAAGTTCGCTAATAAATATTCTTTTGTCAATCCGACGCCGTATAGCGCCGGCGTTTGTTTCCTTTTGAAAACACTTGTTTTGCTATTCTTACTAATTAGACGTTTTTAGATCGACTTTACTTTTACATTTGTATATAACATTAAATAATATTTAACATTTGTAAATATCAATGAATCATAAACCTTATCTTTTTCCAAATTAAGGATCTTGATTGTTTCATATTTACAAATGTTATTATTAGGTGAAAATTTAATTTAATAAAGACCAAGATTTTCCAGGGTGATTTAGCTGTACCTACTTATATAAATGATTTTTTTATAAAACAAAAAAATAGTACAAAAGGTTTCTAATCTCTGCGTAAAAAAAGTCATTTACTCTCAATTTCAAAGAAAACACGTAGAAAAACACGTAGTTACCAACTAAAAACAAGTATCCTTCCGTTTGTAACTGATGTTTGATGTCAAATAAACTTAATTAGTTCTAAACAAGTGAAAAAAAAGCATAAAAAAGAACATTACTTTTACACATGGCACAATAGGCGTGTCATCAACAAATATTTAATGACACGCCTGGCGTGTTTTTAAATATTTGTTCGCCGCCACAAAAGAGAAAGCCGATCTGCTATGCTCTCTCTTGCGTCCAACTCGACTCATGATGACGGGGGGAAAACACCACCGTCCATCCCCGGTGTGAGTGATCCATGCAGGATGTGCTGTTTACCCAGCGCTCGGTGCGCAAAGCACTCCTCTCCCTTGACGTCAACAAGTCGAGTGGGCCTGATATAGAAAAAAAATCATGTAAATTTTAGTAAAATGTTTTTAATCATTAGAATTTTTTGGGTTGCTTCTGTAAGTGCATACGTTTGAATTTATAACCCATAATTCTTCTTTTCTTGGTATTTTGGTAGTATCAAATTGAAAATTGCAACACTCAGAGTTTCCTATTATTAATTTTGTCTGCTGGGTGTCTCTAACAATAATTCTGCTAGATATCATGACAAATAAATTACAATATTTTCCCTATGATT